ACTACGTCACTATTTTCATCACTAAGGTCATCGACCATCCCATTGGCACTACCAAAGTCATCCTCACCAGCACCGCCAATCGTCGTCATCGCAATCACTACCACCACAAATATCGACGTTGCCACCAACAAAGTCATCGCCAGTATCACAACGACGCCCTTTCCATGATTACCCTCATCCTCCTCCTCCTCATCATCATCAACTTTATCTCTTTCCTAAATATTTTTCTGTTTGATGGTGTTTTGCGTGTTCACAGATCCGTTTAGGAAAAAACGTTTATGAGAGTTTATTTATTATTTAACGTCATCACTAGTCAACTAATGGTATCTAGTTATTTTTGATACTTGGAAGCAGGTCATGTGCTATCTTGTACAAAACCACGCTACCTGAAGTACAACTATCAGCATAATCTTTATGACGTAAAGTATATTTAACCACTTCACACATCACAGTAACGGCAACCTTCGCTGCTGATTCACACATAAATCATTGTTTCGTTCGTAAATCCTGTGATAGCCTCAAAACTACTAAAAATAATTCAGTCAGGATTCGTAACTGGTGTTATTAATTACATGTACTACTCATGTTTTTGAAAAATTGTACATGACCTTATTTCAAAATGTCTTTAAACAGATTTCATTAAGAAAAAATCAATCTTCAATATTGCAGTTGTAGGAAGACCCCGAAAACATTATGAACTGTTGTATTTTTCAAAAATATATAATTTCATTGAAAAGTAGACTAATACCATTTTTAAAGAATTATTTACGCTTTTCATGGGCAAAATTTAATACAAAAGTTTGGAGCCTTTTTTGAGAAAATTTTGAAAATGTTGAGGCTTAAGTAAAGTATCTCCAAAAATCAAAATATCCATTTCAAACTCGCATGTCCTCGAGTTCCTTCAGATTGATTGAGTTATACCTATTTGGAGAAAGTGTTCTGAACAGTTTAAGCGCTGGCATTGATTACAACCAGTCAGAACGACGGGGCAGACGTTTTGACGTCAATGATTTTTTCTGTATCAAGAATCGTCCAATCATTGGTTCTGAGTAAACAACCTGATAGAAACAGTAATTTTCTAAGTACTGGAATAAGATTTATCCAATTTTTCGTTAGCAGAGCCCACAAAAATCTATCGAAAAGGGAGTATTTTTCCACTATTTCTGCCCAACTGGAATACTATTTTTCTGTCTCATAGCAAAACAATTCTGCTCTGAAACAAAACAATCACAAGAAATGATTATGGAATAGAACTTTAAGGAACTACAAAAAAGTCCAACGTTGAAATTCCGTAATGTGCACATCAACTTGAATACTCTGTCGTTTCGACTTTGTCCCTCCTCAAGTTGACTTAAGCTCCATCTGTGAAATGCATATTTCATGCAGATGTGCATCATGCAGATTCTGAAAAGATTCCTAAGTACGTCCGAGCATGTACAAAAGCGCCATGGTATGTCAACAGTATCAACCTGATACATCCAAAAACATTACGTAAAAAGAAACAAAAAAAAAGAAACATCCAACAGTAAAATAACCATTAGAAACTCTCGCCTGTAGAAATCAAAACTGACTTGAGGATCTCCAAAATAGGTTTGCAATAAATATAGTTAACAACAAAAAACAATCATGAAAATTGCTTCAAGGCGAAAAGATTTAGTAAACTAGAAACTTTAGTTATTATGTTACAGCAATTTAGTTGTCTCTTTTTGGGCTCAATAGTGTAAGTATTTGTTACTTTTTATGAAGGGTTACCATTGAGTTGCTTTCCTACTTACATTCTTCTTTGTTAACTAACTTGTCTACGGATCTGCACATGGAATAAACTGAAAATTAATAGATAATAAAAAGGGATTATCTCGTACATTGTTTTGCTTTCATTTCGACTTCTAGAATAGCTTTCTGATAAATCGATTTTGAAGTTGTTTTCTAGAACCTAGCTTTATCATGAAATGTTTAAAAATCTAAGAAAACGTTAAGAGACTTTAAATGAGGTTTCAAGCAGACGTGCCCCCAAAAATGTTTTCCTACCAGAATGTTTTATTTTGTTTTATAACATACAGAGCGAAAAGGAATCCCACGTCAAGGCGATTGGCTTATTGAAAATATTATAAAAATCACATATATTCCAATACCTAGAGAAGAAGCAAAGGTTTTATTTTCATGACACGTGTTTAATTTTTTCTGAGTTAGACTTTACTTGGTCGCCCTTGGACTATAAATATGAAAAATAATATATAGTCTATTTTTTTATAGTTAAAGTTATGTTTACCAAGTTAAAACCAATTTTAAATAAAAGAACTTATTTCGACCAAAAACCAGTGTCAAAACAAAATTCCTAGACAATTTGTTAGTAGGCAACCAAATGTTTCACGTAGTGAATTATGCCATCGCTCTTATAACGTGAGCTATGACAGATCGTGCAAGAAGTGGAAAGAATATTTTATTCAATCGCAAAATAAAAATTTGGAGCCGGAGGAAATGGAGTGTTCTCCACTCCACACCAATCCTCCACTCCACTCTTAGCCTCCGGTTGCTAAATGAACTGCAATTAAAAACGGACTAAATGAGCAAAAATTAAAATCCCAATGACGCTTCTACAATATATAATTTCCGGAGGTAAAATAGTTCTCTCTGTGGTTATCCGACTGTGGTCGAAAATTATGAACAAAGTTATCTGTAGAATTGTTATAAACTATCTTAAGCAGCTCTTAAATAGTTTTCTAAATTGTATTGGGAAGCAAGAAGACAAATAAATAGCATTCAAGTGTCGGGATATTATATACTAATGCTGATGCTAATACTAATATTAATAATAAGCCGAAAAAGAAGCTGAGCTTGTGGTACCGACGGTTGCTTCAACTGTCGTCTGCGCCGAAGAGGCTGCAAGTTCGACTCCTGTGTAGGCAAGGTCGTATTTGTGATTGTCCCTTCACCCCTCATCATCATCATCATCATCTTATCTCAAAATTCACAATTCAAGGTGTAACAACCTTGTCTTACCAAGGAATACAGCCGAAAAGCTGATTCTGATAATTACACACGTTAATCTATCTGGGATAAATATGTCTGGGCTTCGAAATTTAACTTGTAGCGTGGTCCTAAATGGCCGAAACGCATATAATAATAATAATAATAATAATAATAATAATAATAATAATAATAATAATAATAATAATAAATCCCATGTGCAATTTTGCATTAGTTCGTTCCTAATGACAATTGTCGCAAATTGTCTTCGATTACAAGTTCCATGATAACGAAAAACAGCTAACAGATTTTTTTACATTGATTATCTTAAATTGTGTGTTACGAATTGAAGCAATACTCTCTCAAATGCTGTCTTTGGCAATGCTCTCTCAAACGATATAAGCAATAACATCTGCATGAAATATGGATTTCACAGATGGTGCTCAAGTTATCTTGAGGAGGAACAAAGTCGTAACGACAGAGAGTATTCAAGTTGATGTGCACACTACGGAACCTTTTTATTTATGTTCTGCACATTTCAAAATATATTATACTATGACAATCCAACATCGAAACAATCGTGCTGCGAAATGAACTAGACTCTTTAGAAAACAACTAAACTCAAAAAGTGTTCAAAAATGACAATCTGTTGAGTTTTTTCTAGCCGACTTCCACATCGCAGGAGACCTCAAATTTCGCATGTTTGTCGTAGGTTACTGGGAGGCCACCCAAATTGCTACACGTACACCAAGCAGTTGGCAGAGACGCTGGTGGATGAAGCACGTTCAAAAATACCCACAATCATCGTGAGGCCCTCCATCGGTGAGTACCTTGCTTCGACCCCCAGCGAGGCAATCGCCTCTTGCATTAGACCATCGATTTCCCACCCTTTTCCTGGATACACTCTTTTTAACAGTGTAGTCATCGACCCATCTTCAGTTTGTCTACAAATATAAAGCTTCCAATCTCATCATAACACAAATAATTTCATTTACAAAACTTAAAAAACAATTAGATAAAGAATATATACTTAAATCTTGAAGAAAGTTTATTATTTTATATTTTTCACACTGATATTCCGTTCAATTTTTATAATTATAAACACGTTTATAGAATATTAAATATTATGATTTGCACAGACAATTTGCATTCTTGATAGTTTCTTTGGGGATTGAAACTTTTCTGTTAACATTATATTTTTATTTTCAGTATTAATAACTTATAAGGAAATTCGCAATTTTTTAAAATATATTTTGAGTTGTGTAACTGTCATGTTTTTGTTCAAATTCAGCCTCGCTCATACAGGTAGAAGTAAATAAAAATTAAAACAGTTCGGTCTGACACTGTCTTTTTATAACATCACTAACTTGTCTATTACATCGCATCGATTACACAACTGTTTTTTGACGTGCAACACCAGGAAAAACAATTTTGTTGTGTTGGATTTCTAAGAAATATTATTCGTGACATATTTCTATTGTTCGGAACCTGAGAGCAAATTAACATTTTTACGATAATTTTTGACACCGAGTTTCTAGATGTATACTTTCCGGTGTTCCTGTGCATGATCTGTGCAATATATTAATATTAAATGCAAAGCATGCCAATTTAGTTAAGTGAGTCGATATTGCTAATAAAGGTGTAAGACTTTATACATCGACTTATATGCATATTGTGTTGAGTGTCCTTATTTAATACTGTGTGTTGGATTTCTTGAACATTAGCTTGAAAATTTATGACACGTACGGAGAAACATCAAAAAATAATATCCATGTACATGCATTAGAAACATTCTCAATTCTTAGACACTGCTTTCTCAGCAAAATACAAATTCAGAAAAGGGCAAAAAAACAGGTTGAAATCTGGCTATACATTTACGAATGCGGGAAATTCTGTGCGCACTATGCCACGCTTGTTGCAAGTAAATCAAGTCCTTCAAAATAAATCTCACAATTACCATCCTAATTATATCTTATATTCCATCAGACGGGAAGCGATGAACGGATAAAATGTTTGAGAAAGTTGTTGTGTTGGCCTCTGGCGATGAACAAGGCAGTCAAAAAATGGTTACATCAAGCGCCTAGTTGGAGCCATATTAAAATGCCCAACGTTCCAGCTCGTGTTGAAGATGGGTAATGAACAAGTTGTCAAAGCGAGGGGGGGGGGGATCGTGACATGGCCAGCGCATACGCCATCGCCGTTGAAGCCCCTGTTTGATCCCCTATCACTCTACGTGCAAATTTTGGTGAAGAAAGTCAGCTCTTGCTAGGTTTTCTCGGAGTTCTTCCGTTACCCATGTCTCTCATTCCATCGTTAGTCAATCTTATTATCAGTGCCAATAGATCATCACTCATCATTAGAGACCGGAAAAATATGTAGTATGAAAGTCAGAATATGGGCATAAATATTTAATGAAATCTATAAGAATATGTAATAAATATGTAAACTCGGATGTAATATGCAATATTAAAATACACTAATTATAATACACATTTACATATAAAACATTACATTTATACCAAATATTCTAAACAAATTTTAAAAACAATACAAACGTTTGGAAAATCATTTGGAGAGCACAAGTTGATGCACACTTTGCCCCATGCAACTTTCCAGTCAGTAGTAATAACTTCATCTATTGCTATCCACGACCGTAGTTTAGCAGCCATACTAAACCAAACAGAAGCCACCGCACAAACTGCTGATTTCTATGACCAGCAAACAACCACTGCAGCGTGCAGCACTCTCATCGAACGATCGAACACGTCGGCGATCGCCAAAGTTTCTCGGAAATTCGTGTAAACGTCTCGAAAGGCGGCGTCAGTGATACTTTTCAAACCTAAGGTAAAAACTAGGGAGCGGATTTTAATGAAATGTCATTTTTTTTCCTTTTCACTTTGGAACAAGGCCCTTCAGTATACAAATTCATTTCATGTTATGACGAAATGAAATGACCTATTTTTATACGTTTTTTCCCTTTTTCATTGATTTCATCTAATAAGTTAATTTTTACCATTTTACATAATTTTTACTGCATTTTTCGATGATTTAATTGATTTTAATACAATGTAATGATACGTGCTTCAAACAATATTTACGAGGTGCAACAAATGTTCACTACAGAATTCATAAGTAGCTTATTCGACTTCTTCGATTAGACAAGAAACAGTTAATGAATTAGACAAGACGTGGGCCTATCTCTGATGTACACGTGTGTGTGTGTGTGTGGCAATGACGTCAGCGTATCAGATTTGGTACACAAGATCATATCTATACCCACAATAAGTAGTTAATTAGGCAAGACGCGAGCCCCTCTGTGACGTGTGTGTGTGTGTGTGTATGTGGCAGTGACACCGGCGTGGCAGGAGCCGACGCCGGGCTGGGTGGACTCGCTCAACGGGCCCGTGGGACTGGTGGTGGGCGCGGGCAAGGGGGTCATCCGCTCCATGCTCTGCGGCCGCCACTTCAAGGCCGAGGCCATCCCGGTGGACATGGCCGCTAACATCATCATCGCCGCCCCGTGGGACGCCACCGTTCACAGGTACGTAAGACGCTTCTGCCCGGCACTGCGTTGCCGTGAAGAGCAGGTCTCCAAGCACTACACAATCTTGATTTGCGCTGTCCGGGTGACGTCGCGTCGAAAGCTGATATGCCGACGTTTCGACCATCGTCTTCTTCAGGGCTGTAGTTGCAAGGGGGCAGTACAGGCATTACCCGGACATACCCAAATCACGACTCTGGCCGTGGAAGCCTACGGTATCATTACACATTCTTTTTACTTTCTGAGATAAGTATGCATCAGGATTATTGTTTTCATGCGACTAGGATATGAGTAGGGTAAACAATGATAATCACTTTTTGCCAATGAACATGACGAAGGAAATCTCGAACAACTAATTTACCATGAAGAATCAAAAAGAACTGGTACGGCCATGCGTATTGAAATAAAGAGATCCGGAACCACTCAGAATATGGCGATCCATAAGACAACGAGTTTGGCGCGGTTGTTAGTTCGGTTAATACTGCTATAGTAACCAGTTATCACGATTTAAGTGAGTTAGAAAGTGGTGTTGTAGTCGGCGAAAGAGAAAAGGGGCATAGCATTTCCGAGGTCGCGATGGAATTTGGATTTCAATTGGTAAAACTTCCGGCATCGCTGTGATCGCAAAACTATCGTGTGAGAACGGGACCGACAGCGACTGAGAAGAATCATTACACGGGACAGAAGTGCAACCCTTCCGCAAATTGCTGCAGATTTCAATGATGGGACATCAACAAGTGCAAGCGTGCGAACCATTCAACGAGACATTATCGATATAGGGTTTCGGGGCCGAAGGCACACTCATGTACCCTTGATGACACCACGACACAAAGTTTTACGCGTCGCCTGGGCCCGTCAACACCGGCATTGGACTGTTGATGACTGTAAACAAGCTGCCTGGTATGACGAATCTCATTTCGCATTGCTTCTAGCGGATGAACGGGTTCGAGTATGGCGACAACCTCATGAATCCATGGACCCTGCATGCCAACAGGGGACTGTGCAAGCTAGTGGAGGCTCTGTGATGGTATGGTGGGGGATGGAATGGTATGGATGGGTGTGATATGGGTGAGTTGGAGTGATATGGAACCCCTGATACGTCTAGATACGAATCTGACTTGTGACACATACGTAAGTATCCTGCCTGATCACCTGCATCCATTATTGTCCATTGTGCATCCCGACGTACTTGGACAAATCCTTCAGGGCAATGCGACAGCCCATACGTCGAGTTGATACAGAGTGGCTCTAAGAACACTCTTCTGAATTTAAACACTTCCACTGACCACCAAAATCCCCTAGATATGAACTTTATTGAACATATCAGGGATGCCTTGCAACATCTCAGAAGAGCTGTTCAGAAGAGATCTCCACCACCTCATACTCGAGTTTATGAACAGTTCTGTAGGATTCATGGTGTCAATTACCTCCAGCACTACTTCTAAGATTATGAGAGGCCATGCCACGTCGTGTTGCGGCACTTCTGCGTGCTCGTGAGGACCCTACACGTTAGGCAGGTGTACCAGTTTTTTTGGTTTTTCAGTGTTTTTACTACATGCAATTTTTTTCTCACCCTTACAAATAAAAGGAGAGAAAGTATTGTAAACGTGTGGCGAATTTTCCACAGAAAAACTCTTATTGTCGGGAAAAGGGTTACGAAGTAAGTACAGGCCTGCCCGCAAAATTTAATTCGCCTCCCTTTCATAAAAGTATATAGCAAACACAAGTAGTTTCAGCATCTTAAATAATAAAAATATTCTTTAAAAAATTATAATTTATCAGTCTATGGTTGATAACCAATAGTAGAAAAAAAATCTTTTTCATTTAATTTAATGAAATTAAGACTAATAAAACCCGAACGAATTGCTTTTCTTTATTGATTTAGAAACAGGGTTGCATAATCTCCCGAAGCGCAAAAAAAGTTCTTCTGGAAAATGTATTGTATCAGCTATCGCAAGGTATCAGAGAAGGTATCAAGTAATTAATATTTTTTACAATCGCAAAACCTCCAACCTAAAAGTAGGCCATCTTTTACCTGGGCACGCACGCACTGCGGGCCATGCTGGCCCAAACGTTACACTACTGTCAGACCGTGGTAACGAAAGAAAGTCATTTTCCTGTATATTGTAAATCAATCACGCAAACAATCCACGTCTAACACCGAAAAGGCCTAGGACGTTGTTACGCAAATAACAAGTGCAAGTCCATGAAGTAAGCTCCACCTGCTTGATGGGAGTGGTGATATCAGTCGCTGTCTGGAGGAAAATGCAAGTGGCCGGCTGCTCTCTGTGATCTATGCTCCCTAGCTATCGGTAGCTTTCCGTGGTTTCTCCAATCAAAACGAGGCGAATGTCGGAGCAGTACCGAAACGGGCCACGGACCGCGCGCGAGATCTTTTCTACCTCTTCCTTGTCCCCTTACTAACAAACACACTAACATGCACTACACTGTCGGACATGCCGGGAGACCAGTCGGGACCTTGGAGCGGAGATACATGGTGAACAACATGGTGCCTCGCTGGTGAGAGATACATAGATGGGGAAAACCCCGCTAGCCGCCGGTAGGTCGGCGCCGGATCTCGCCACACATAGTGGGAACACCACCGCCACCTCCCGAACAAAACATGCACTGCACGTACGGGACTAATGCCTTTAGTAGTTGCCGTGCCCGGAATCACTAACAATCAATCCATCATTCGATGGCTGCGCAGGGCGAAGGAGAAGGCAACGCCCGTATACAACGCGTCGTGCGGCGACGTGGTGCGCATCACGTGGGGGGAGGTGCTGGACCGCGGGCGCAAGCTGGTGTACGAGACGCCGTTCGAGGGCGTCGTGTGGTACCCGGACGGCGACATCCGCGACAGCCGCCTGGTGCACGCCCTCATCGTCTTCTTCTTCCACACGCTGCCGGCCTACTTCATCGACCTGCTGCTGCTGCTCGCCCTACAGAAGCCCTTGTGAGTGTTGCGCTGCACGGCGCGAACGCTCCTGCAAATCTCTGGCGCGGTGGATCATGTGAATAATAGTAGGTTATACAATTAGTCTAGAATGTTACACTTTATTGCATGGGTACATGATTGAAAACGAGCGACGTTAGGTGTGAGTTTTCGTAAAATGCAGTAGAGCAATATTACAAACGAGTAGCATACGTTATTGGTTTGTGTATTAGCATCATAACTGTATAAGAGACTCAAACTTAATTTTGCGAAACTTTGTGACGTATCGGGTATTTCACATATGTGCGAGAAAACGGTTGTCGGCTGTTCCGTTTTCCTCTACCTCCCCGCGATTCTTTCGCTACGATTGGCAGAATGTGTGATGACGCAATCATTCGTGCCGTAAAATGGTAACACGCCAAAATGTGTACCGTAAAATTCCTGATTGTGAACGGTTTCTTGCAACAGAAATAGTTGTTTAGAATGCTGGTACACAAAAAATGATTTTACTACAAACTTTTGAAGTAAGTACTTATGTTTCGGTGAATAAAGCGCAAGTACAATCTTTTACTTGTAGTAAATACATTTTACTTAGAAGAAATACGTAATATCGTAGTAAGGACATATTTTGAAATCGGTTACTGAAATTATTACAGAGCCCTGGCAGTGGATAAATAAATGCTAGAAAAACTGTGATAAAGAAGTCTTAAAATATGGCCCTAAGCAGGTTGTGCCTGCACTACCTAAATCCATAACGTTACGAACACATAAATACATATGACTGCATTGTTACCTTATTCCCCTCAGAAGATAACACAGTATTTTTCTCTTACATTGATATACGATGAAGTTGTGTGAGTCTTCATTTGCGAGTTACGACGTCTAATCGAACCAATTATGTGACTTCTTACACATGCTTGTAGGTTTTGTTTTTGTGGTGGTATTGGGGTTGCTATTGTTATCTTCTTCTTCTCCTTCTTCTTTCTTACCGACTTAGGTGCCTCAGGGCATCCATGTCACTGCAGTGCCGCTGACGGGGAGGTTCTGCGATTACAGACCATACGATCCCAGGATTTTCGACACTTAGCTAGCTCGAATTCAGCTGCTGCCTGGAGGTTTTCTTCAAGCGACCGGCTGCTCTGATCGGTACGTTTCCGTGGTTTCTCCGAACAAACCAGGAGAATAACAAGGAACAAGTGTCACGCGCGATCTTTCTTTCTTTCTTTCTTTCTTTCTTTCTTTCTTTCTTTCTTTCTTTCTTTCTTTCTCCGATCCTCACTCCCGTACATTATGGGGGACCAGCCACGACTTTAGAGCTTATCCCGATTGGGATGGTGGTTCGCTGGTAGGAGATATCTGGTTGGAAATCCTCCCTCCCCCAAGCCGATAGGTATGTCGGCGCCGGATCTCACCATTCAGCAGGCGAAGTCCATTTCCCCCTCCCGGGATAAAAGCATAAACTACACTTACGGATTGCGACCTTAGCCGCTGACCAATCAATCTTCTTCCTTCCCGTTCCGCGCCTCTGAGAGCAACCGCTTGCCGTAGCATGGTGCGGCTGCAGCGGCGCATCAGCACGGGCCTGGACGTGCTGCAGTACTTCACGATGCGGCAGTGGGAGTTCAAGAACGCGCACGCGCTGGCGCTGGAGCAGCACATGAGCCCCGAGGAGCGGAGCGTCTTCTACATCTCCGACGTGGAGGTGGACGTCGCCGACTACCTGCGCAACATCCTGCTGGGCGCGCGCCAGTACTGCATGAAGGAGCCCTTGACGTCCATTCCACGCGCCCGACGCCATCTCATGCTGTAAGAATCGTTATTTGCCTAACTAGTACGGAAAGTGAGTGTTTGGCGTACGGATGAAATGTTTACCGACGAGTCGACGAGTTCGGCATTTTGAAATGCGTTCGCCAATACCACTTTCCCGTGAGTTGCCTAACGTAATTTTAGTTCAAAGCCATGGAAACTTGGAGTACATAGTATTCTTGGGATTATTCTCAAGAGGCAGCAGCAAGCAGGGGCGGATCCAGCCATTCTTTTTGGAGGGGGTCCTCATAGAATTTTGTTAATAAATAATTATTTAAATGAATTTTGCGAAATAAAGGAAGGTAAACGAAAACGGCTGTTTGAGGCGGGTTGGGGCAAGCCCGAAACCCTCCACTGGTAACAATGTTCATTCATGTCACGTCAGTGTCTATTTTGCCGTACGCAGGGAAAGTAACTTTTTAAAAACAAGGGAAAAATAACTTTTTAAAAACATCAACATGCTAAATTACTTACACTTTATTGAGTTTTGAAATATATAAATTCTCTCTCTCCCTCTCTCTCCTTCTTCCTCTCTCTCCTTCTTCCTCTCTCTCCCTCCCTCTCTCCCTCTCTCTCCCTCTCTCTCTCTCCCCCCTCTCTCTCCCCCTCTCTTCCTCTCTCTCCGTGTGTGTGTGCGTGTGTGTGTGTGTATGTGTGGCAGGTCGAGGGAGTGACTCTGGTTATAACTCTATTTTTGGTTAGTCGGCCAACCTAATCATCGATTGATTTACGTAGACCTTAGACGATTGTGACTTACGTAGACTCTTAGAAGAGATTCTGTTCTTGACATTTGCGAATCTGTCACCATTGTAACTTCTTTTCTCGTGTAGCTTTGCGCACAAATATTGATTTGTAAATATCTGTTCTGTTTTCGCGAGGTTAAAAGTACGGTTTTCTAAGAAAGTATACTTTATAAATTAAGTTATAAATTAATTTAAGGCCGCTTACTAGCTACTACGGTTATATAGCGACCACTGTAAATAACATTGGGGATAATGGTAACGCTATATAGACACACAAACATCCATGCCCCCGGCGCGATTCGAATCCGCGACCCTTCAGGCACAAGGAAGCTACTCTTCAGCCGTACAGACCTCTGCTAAACAGGCCGGCGAAATATGTCTCGTTTGTTTGAAAAATGAATATATGACCCATTTTCTCGGAAAACAAGATAAAAATCTGAACTTCTAAAAGTTGCTTGATGTAAACGTGAATGAGCTACTTCACGAAAATAATGAGGCAGATTGCAAAATTACGAATTATGGATTCATGTGTGAATTTTTTTAGGAATTAAATTGAAATTTTTTATTCGTAAAATAGTTTTAAATCATATTTAAGTAATTCTTCTAAAATATAAAAACAAATCGTTACAGAATATACTGCAAAAATTTCTATGTGATGCAGTTTCTGGAGTAAAGGGTCAAAAATATAGTCAATTTTACATCTGCTAGATACTCGTAGGACTGACAGACCCCGTCAGAAACACTTTCCTATCAATAAAGTATGGAGATAAGTACAAGTTTCAATAGTACAGACACGTATGCTGTTGAATGTTAGAGATATATAGATTTAGTATTTCTCTAAACATTAGGGCCATGTATCGTAAGTATTAAAAATGTCAATTTTTTTACTTACAAAGTGTTTTTAAAAGTCATGCTGTTCTGTGTTTCAAGCAGAGTTTTGCACACGTTGGCCGAAATGTTAGAGGAAATATAATGTATAATATGCACGTTATCGTTGTACATAGCCATTACAAATTGTACGAGAAAGTCCGTACTATATTTTAGCACCACTAATTCAGTTTCGCTTGTTTTGCAAAGATATCTTTTTGTCTTACAGTTGAACACTCTTAATGACTATTTCACTAACAAAGTGAATTTTTCGTCTCGAATGAATGAAATTTTCTCCATCTCCTCCTCCTTGTCATTCTTTTTCTTCTCCCCCTCCTCTTCCTTTCTTCTCATTCTTCTCTTCATGAACTATCATTCAATAAATAGCAAATGACACGCGTGTTTTGGAAATTTTCACTATCCAAATTTCTCGAAATACCTATGGTCATAATGGTAATTTCCATATCACAATAATAATTATTGTGTTTTCTCTTTCAGGATGTACCTGATACACAACGTGGCAAAGATTGTGTTCTGGTTATCGATCTTATATCTCATTGTGAAGAATGTGGAACCTCTCAGAGCAATGCTTGATACAGCTTCAAGTGGACTGCTACATTCTTCTTTCTTGCGGGTTTTTGCCGCTGAATAATGATGTGTCAATATACACACAAAATGTAGCATATCTTTTTCTAGAGATCTGTATTTTTACACCTACACCATAAAGCATATATTCCTTTAAGTACCATTTTTTAAATATATATTATATCACAAGTATGGTTTTCATTTTTTACTACAAGCTGAATTAACCTGACGTCGCCAGTGTATTTATGTTTGACAATCACCTTTTACGCAGGAAAAACAATGAATCCCTGACTAATTTAGTGTAATTAATAGTTTAATCTACAGTGTAAAATGGAAGTAGTTTCGTTCACATTTTCGCCACGTCACACTTTTCTCCACCCTCCCATCTGCGTCCCGCCCGATCCCAAAGGCAACCCCACCCTACGCC